ATAAACGTCTGAAAGTGATAAATTTTGTGTGTTAACAGAACCAACAGCTACTAAAGGCAATGATGTGCCATCGACAGTCATAATAGAAATAGACAAGTTAGAAAGATGCAAGTCATTAAAGAGTTTTGAGTTAGATGACGTGTTTGGACGCACCAGAGTCAAATATCACGAGGAAGAAATACTTGAGTGACTCTGAGATGACAAACCTATATGAGTAGAGGCTAACATAGCATGTGACTATGTGGCTAAGAACTTTTGAAACTGCTCTGCTAAATCAGTCAACATGGGACTAGAAGAAGGTGGTGCTCCAAGTATAGACGAGTCATTAGATGTCATGGTAGCAGCTACATTGGCATTGAGATGATATGATCGCTGTCGTGGTTGTGGCTGCTGCTTCTTCAATAGTTTAGGGCATTGAGACTTCCAATGTCCCTTTTGTTCGCAAAAGTTACACTCATCACTAGCAACTCGCACATAACCTTTGTTTTGATTCTGTGTGGATGATCGAGAAGGTACAGCCAACACTGAAGTGCTAGATGGAAAAAGGGATACTTCTCCTACAAGAGATTTCAAACGTGTTTTTTCAGCTACAAGTTCACTAACCACCGAATCAACTGATGGAAGTGGAGTACGGTGTAAGATAGAGCCTCTAAGTCCCTCAAAATCATTGCGAAGTGCCATGAAAAATTGAACCAATCCCTATTTCTCTCTAAAAGTAATATATTCCTCACATGCTTTCATTCCCGCTGATTCTGTAAGAGCCAACTCATCCCAAATTGAATTCATAGCAAAATAAAATTCAAGAATACTCATATCCTTCTGTTGTAAGGCTCGTATATCAATCTTCAACTAATATCATTTTGCAAAATTAGACTTAGTGTATAACTTTTGTAAGTGATCCCAAACTTCTTTCGCTATTTCAAACTTAGCTGACTGTGTACCAATGGATTGTTCAACAGAATTATGAATCCAAGTGAGAATTTTCGCATTGTTTGACTCCCAATTATCTAACTCTATCACATAATTCTCAGCAGTGGTCTCAGGTTTTACGATAGTTCTACTAACATAACCCCACAATCGTTTTCCTTTTACAAAATTCCTCATCACAATACTCCAATATAAGTAATTTTTACCATTTAATCTAACACTAATGGATTGAAGTGAATCATCCCTTTCAGTTACCATCATGAAATCAATAAATAATCAACTACTAATAAAAAGAAATCAGCAAATTCCAAGAAACTCAACAACGACCAACGTACCAACACGAACTACTACCAGAATATACCGTACAGTGCACCTATGACCAAACTAATACCGCCAAAAATGTCAGAAACTCACCAAGGAAGAAACTGTCCCGTTGAACTGTATGTCTCACGCGCCGCCAGAACCTTTGCAACTTTCGTTCACGCTCCTCCGGAATAGAGCGCGTGGTGATACACGCGCCAATCAGGTAGAATCGTCTCGTTGTCTGGAATCCAAATATGGTCAACAATCGCCGAACGGAGGTTTAATTTGAAAGATATTTTATATTTTCAGTCACGGCTTAAGGGAAAATTAGGGTTTTCTATTATTTTGGTGACACGAATTGCTTGAGAATGGATTGAACGAAAAGAACAAACTCAACACATATGTTTTGGCTCTAATACCATGATAACATATAATCTAATCTATAGAATCAAACATATAGAGAATCAAAGAAGGAGAAAGAAGAAGAGAAAAACAATTGAGCAACTTAAAAAGGAATTAGAGTTTACAATGATTTAATATATTACAAAGAGATTTAAGCTAGTAAGAAAACTAAGCTAATAAGGAAACGAAATATTAATTAAATAAATTAAACAAATAAATATATTATCATTGTTGACCAGTGACTCATACGAGTCCCAGCACGATTCGGCCGACTCCGGCGACTGGAGAAACGAGTTAGTAACTCTAGGTACTCAAATTCAAATAGTCAGATGCCCTGTGTAATACACTGACATTCCGATCGGCTATCCACGTGCATTGGTCACAATAATTTCACCAATTTACCCAAATCCCGTTACTGGTATTACAGAACTTCTCACTAATTTTTGAACCAAATCAATTTTCACAATCTACCGAAAAACCCGAAAGAATTTACTCGAAAGCCAAGAACCCATGTGCACTGTTCACAATAATTTCACCATTTACCCAAATCCCGTCACTGGAAGAGCAGCTTATATATTTATAATTCTTGTCTACCTATCAGATTTGCCGCCAGCGATGGTGGTGTTGGGAAGAGTGGTATAGAAAGAAGGAAGAAGATGAATTGGTTTTCATTTTATTTTAATTTCTTTTAGTTTTGGTTTGTAATTATTTAGCCTCTATATTATTTGAAAAATTAAAGAGTTTTGAATAATAATTTTTTAGAGAATGTGTAGTAAAAAGGTAATAAAATTTTATTTGTTTATATATAAAATATTTTATTGTGTGAATATATGATGGAGAATGATATTGTGACAAATAATTTGAAATATTAAGGAGCGACAAATATGCTCTTATTTGGGATTCATTTATAATTTTTTAAAAGATTTTGGACTATGATTACAATTAATCCTTTATTTTCTTATTTATTTTATTTTTGTTTTATTTAAATAGGAAAGTATATTCGTCATCTCATATATTTTTATTGAGAAATTGGATAAAAATGATGATTTGTGCAATGAAATGTGGAAATAAGAGTGAAAATGCAAAAAGAATAAAAAAATAAAAATGAAATGACATTTTGCACAATGAATTCGAAGCGTATAGGCGTTTTGTGCTAATAACCCTAAATAAAAGTTTAAAAAAGTAAATTCTAAAAAAAATTAGAAAAATAAAAAATTGTAAAAAATAATTCAGCCTCTTGTTGGTTATTTAAATAAAAATTATAAATATACATATTTAAATGAAAATTAATTAAAATTCATAATAAATTTTTAATTTTTATTTCCTGTGTTTTTTTTTTTTTTTGTCAACTTGGCCCTTGTTTGGGCTTCATTTTTTCAAATTATAATGAAAGGAGTAATAATTTTTTTGATGAATGTGTGGTTAAAAGGAAAGAAACTATTTTAAGTTTACATGTAATATTATTTTATTGAAAAATGTGTGATTGATAAAAAGATAAAAAAATGAATTTTAATTTAATTGGAGTCAAACAGTGGTTAGTTTTTCAGAATGAAAAATCCAATGGGTTTTTAGCATTCTTAAAATTGACCCTCAAAATGAAAATCTGAAAATGAATTCAAAACTAAAAAAATTCTACCCAAATCAAACAGGAGCCAAGTATTTGTTAAATAAAAGAATATTACAAGTAAAATTAAAATTTCAAAAAAAAAAAATCATAGTTTATGGTCTAAATGAAAGTAGTAAAAGTAAAATTGAAATTTCGAAAAATATCATAGTGTATGTTCTAAGGGCCATGTTTGATTCCACTAAAAATTTTGATTAAAATCCGATTCAAAGTTAACATTTAATTTTAACCATACATTTCATGGGATTTTCGACATACATTTTTCCAACTTAATAAAATTTTGATTTTTATCTAAACGAAATAAGGGTTGAGAATTTTATTTATTTATTTATTTGAAAAAATTCTGTTAAAACAAAAATTAAAAGTGGAAATTACACCACAGCCTATTTTAAAATCAGATTTGATGTTTCATTATTCAAAACTCAGATGTTTATATATATATATATTCATTCCAAATCCTACGTTTATCTTTGAAACAGTGCTTGAATTCTACTTCGCTTTGCGTAGCAACAAGCTCAGAGAGTCGCACACAGTGGCGATGCTTTGTTTGTCGATGCGCGACGATCTCTACAGGGTGATGGGTTGGTGGTTTTTATAATGGATTTGGGGTTTTATGTTGTTTTTGTGGTGGTTTTATGCTAGTTTTGTAGTGGTGGTGGTGGTGGTCACGTGGTGCACAACTGGCGATTCGATATGGTGGTGTTGGTTGTAGGAATCGTGGCAGCGATGGCACTAGTGGTGGATGGCGATAATAGTGATTTTGGATTTGCCATGGTTTTTGATCCATCATGGTTTTGCTTGATTTTTGTTTATTGGTGATGATTTTTTCCATGGTGTGGTAATGTTGGGATGGGTTTATTGACGGTAGTGGTGGTGGATTGAGCACTACTGATGGTGGATCTAGAGTTGGTGGAGATGAATTTGGCGATGGTGGTGATGATGGTCGTGGCTACTAGTGGTTGTGGTTGTGGTGGAGTGGGATATGGTGGTGATGGTGGTTATGGCGGCAGTAGTTTTGGTGGCGATGGGGTTGGTGACAATGGTGAGGTGGTTGTCACAAATGTTGGTGGTGATCATAAATGATTAAGTTGTGACCTGTAAATTGTGATTGTGACTCACAAGTGTTTAAATTGTGATCAAAAAATTAATCTTGATCAATTAATCTAATAATTTGCAATGTATAAAAGAGTTGTGACTAATAAAAATTTTGATTCTATAACCTATAAAATTTATAATTCGTGATCGAAAAATACATGTGACCTATAAATTTTTTGATTTGTGACCTAAAAATAAGTTGTTACTAAAAATTAATCCATGAATAATTAATTTTTTGATATGTGACAGATGAACAAAAATGTGACCTGCAAAAATTTTTGAATTATGATCGTAAAATAATTTGTGACATAAAATCTCATATTTGTAATAAAAAAATAATAAGTGACTAATTAAATTGTTAATTTGTGATCAAATTGTATAGAATTGTGATCTAAATATATTTGATTAATAAAATAAATAATTCATTAAATTATAAATATATTTTAATAAAAATCTGATTTTTGAAATTTGAAAATTTTTTATTTTTATTTTAAAATATGTGATATTTAAACTCTTATTTATGAAATTTTCCCAAATTAAAAAGCTTGTGGATCTATCAACGCTCGGCTATCCATGGGCAAGGCCTGGCCCTTGGTAACAAGCGAAGTCGAGCCTAGGTCCAGGTGAGATGTCAGTCACGTGACCCACGTGCGGTTCGCGTTATATGAATGCACTTTTAGTCCCAAAAAGCGACTCTAGCCTCTGGTCCCGTCGAAACGCGCCATTTGCTGTTCAAGTCAGTTTTCCCGCACGGCAGCAGATCCTTCTCCCGCGAAACTTCTCTTTCTCACAAGCACTTGGAGCAGAAATGTCGGAAGAGACCTCAACGAGTTCGAGCGCCGCCGCCAGACCTTCGATGGAGGACATATTCCGGTCGTCAGCAGCCGTGAATTCTGCCGGAGACTCATCAGCCTCTGTTTCTGCTCAGACCTTACACTTCTCTTGTGGAAACCCTAGAATCGAAGAGATCAGAGGCGTCATGCGTCTATACCGCGACGATGTCGCTTCATCCTCCTCCCAACTTCCTGTAATTTCACTCATTTTAAGTTCAATTTTCGTACTAGAAAATATACTTAGCAAGACCAAACAATAAACTATTTACCGTCAGTGAGTTTTGCAGTTAGCATGTTTTTAATCCAGTTGACGAATATCGGAGAAATGTTTTTTTTGTAAATTCATTAATTTTATTTTATTTTATTTTATTTTATGTCAATTGGTTTTGGAGATTCTAATGCATTGCCTGAGGTTTAATACCATTTGAATTTTAGTTATTTATTGACAATTGATATGAAGTATTGCACTTAAAAATGTTCATCATCCAAATCAGTCAACTACAAGTCTACAATATTCGGTTGGGACGGATGGCATTTATAAAAATAAATTTTTTACGATGTTGATTTTGATTTATGTAAATTGATAGATTTCTTATGTTATTTATTGAAAGTTAACTAGAATAGTTGGGATTTTAATGAACTGTAAATTATAACTTACACAAATTTCTTGTCTCCGTTATGATTCAGAAAAATGAGAATGTCATCCATTACTAACTTAAAATTTGATTACGTTCTAATAAAAGTGGGCAAGAACCTATACATTCTATGAACAAGGTCTGAAACTGCTCCTCATTATAGAAAACCTCCTTGTCTGATTAAAATTTAATGGTCAACACTTCTCTGTTAGCCCTCTTTAATACTTTTGATGGATTCTGCCTCATTGGTTTGCATGAAATTTCAAAATGAATAAAATTACCCGTCTCCAAGCCTTTAGGGAAGGAAAATAATTCATGTATCCATAATTCGCCAACTAACCACTTGCATCCTTTCCATTCGTGCCCCAGCCAACAGCATCAGCCTTCACTTCAATTTGTTCATTCTAATCTTTTTAGAGACTAAGGTGCAAGATAAGCTATTTTTCCTTTGGCATGGCAAGGCAAAGCAAAATGCCTCAATGCAGGTGAAAGCCTTTCGGATATGAATTCTTGTTATTCATAAATTTTAAAAATATATACCAGAATTAGAAATGTTAAAAATGGCAGAAAAAATGGAGTTCATTTCTTCTATACTTCATAGCTCTCCCTCCTATATTGTTGAAATCTTTTAGAAAGATATATACTTGCTTGAAATTTTGATTGTGAGGTTGATTTTTTATATCTAATCATTACTAATGCCATCTAGGTTGAACGAAGGCCTCTTCTGTGTGTGCTTGGGGTGCCCAATCACATGACATATGCAGATTTTTGCCAGTTCTGTGGTTCGTTGATTCAACATATGTTGGAAATGCGTATTGTCAGGTTTGATTTCATAAATGTTATGCTTTTATTATGGAATTGGTTGTAATTTTCACCCCACTAAATTTGGTTTTGATATAATTTGTGAGAATTCAGGAATGAGGGGATAGAGGATTGCTATAATATATTGATCAGGTTTAATGATCAAGACTCAGCCGATAGTTTTTACAAGCATTTTAATGGGAAACAGTTCTCATCTCTTGATGTATGTTTCTCTTTCTGGTTATCTAATTTGTTGAATCTTTTGAAAGTTTTTATGTTAAAAGATACCATATTGGTTCATGTAAAATCGTGCCTCTTTGTTATTAGCATATAACTGGGTCATCTAATGCAGGAGGAGATTTGCCGCGTGCTTTACACTATCGACATCCAGTACACTGGTTCAATTGAGCATTCACAGATTTCTACCACAAGCTCTATGGATCAGCCCTCCTGTCCTGTCTGTCTTGGTATTTTTCATAGAACATTTATTGTGGTGATGGATGCTTATGACTTGTGAATTTCATGGTGCATTGGAAGTTGGATCTTATTAAACAGATCATAGTAGTTTTTCTGAACCTCGTATATGATTCAGTTGCTTGCACCTATCAACAAGTATGTTATTCCGTGTCCTGGTTAGTATAACGTACAAGGCATAGAAACCATTTCTTTAAGAGTTCAGATAAGCACTAATATGTCATGAGTTTTAGCATGAGATCAACCTGCGGGAAACAACTTAGACAACTCTAGTAGTCCATTTTCAGTTTTTAGTTATACTTCCCATTAGAGTTATGGAGACTGGGAATTCGCACACTTTGTTTGAGAAATTGATTGTTTGTTTCATTTATCTTTGGCCTTGTTAGATTGGTGGTCATTTTGTAAGTGCATGAAAGTTCTCGAGGTTATTGCAACAGTTGCATTCTGTCATAATTCTCTTATTTCTGCCACTTGCAGAGAGGTTAGACCAGGACACGAGTGGAATTCTTACAACTATATGCAATCATTCTTTCCATTGCTCCTGTATATCTAAATGGACAGATTCTTCTTGCCCCGTGAGTACCATATGTTGCTTTATAAAATGGATTTGGAAATTACTTGAAATTATGGAAATCATATATACCTATGTACTTGTTTTTTCCTTAAATTTGACCAACCGCTGTCATGTTACTCAAAAGGATGGATTGGCAGATGTTTATGATACATAGGCAGGTATAACATGGCTGGTTTTACCCTTTCATCCACTTTTCTTCTGTCACGCATGAGTCACTGATGTCTAGTCACGCTTTATAAATCAACATGTCAGAATTCCGCGTATTTATATATTTTTCAATTGAACAATAGACATGCTTTCCATATCCACTTACTGTAGATTTTTACACATGTATCTTTTCCCAACCTTCACTTAGAAGTAGAATAGTCCACTTATATATTTATATTAGTGGGGAGACTATTTTCAATTGAACAATAGACATGCTTTCCATATCCACTTACTGTAGATTTTTACACATGCATCTTTTCCCAACCTTCTGTTAGAGGTAGAATGGTCCACTTATATTAGTGGGGAGACTACTGGACTCTTCTACCTCTACAACGTAAGTGGTCATTTTTACAGTCGAGTGTTAAAAGACCAATCCCAAAAGTGGAGGCATGTGTGTTAGCTCATAGGTCACTATTTATATGTATATGATGATCTCTATGTTTATAATTTTTTTTCTCTAAATTTAATGTTTGATACTTTTAAGATAGTTTATTATTGAGAAAGCAGGTGACATCCAAATCAAATGGGTGCACGTAAGATTAGTCAATCATGATGGATGTTCCTCAATTTTTAAGTTTTTTGTCGTTGCTCAACGTGTATGTTACCTTTTTTTGCTGAAACGATTAGACTCACCATTATCATTTTTTTGGACGATTATGTGTTTAGATGCTAAGGATCACAGCAACATAGATGTTATGTTTTCTTGTAACGTTTTTTTCTGTCTTTTGCACTAGCCAGTTGCCTTATTCTTTATTAGTTGTTAAATGTTAAACTGTATCTTTTGCTTTATAATTACAAGAAAAATTAGCTGAAATTGTGCTTGGTTGCAACTTTTTACATAGGTATGCCGCTATTGCCAAGAGCAGCCTGAGAAGTCAATATGCTTTGTCTGTCAAACTGCTGAGAACCTTTGGATGTGTATCATATGTGGCTTTGTTGGTTGTGGGAGGTAGTGATTCTTCCTCTGGCCTTATGGAGATAATTTCTTGATATTGGCCCAAGTAAACATGAGATATCAATGTTAAGAAAGAAAAGTGTTGAATGAAGCTTATAGTAACATATTTGGTACAGGTATAAGGGAGGACATTCCATTACACACTGGAAAGAAACACAACACTACTACTCAATTGAATTGGAAACACAACGGGTGTGGGACTATGTTGGAGATAACTATGTCCATCGTTTGATTCAATCTAACATTGATGGAAAGTTGGTTGAATTGAACCACCATTGCATGCCTACTGATGGGATTTGTGGTGATTGTTCTGGAGGCAATGATGCCATATTGCACAGTGAAGTTGATGCCGTACTTATATACTTTGATGCTCCTCTTATTTCATAGTGCTATACTGTTGATCTTTGGCCCTTGTACTTTGTCTGGCTAACTCTGTATTCTGTATCTTCAAATTTTATATATGCAGATAGTGAACGAGTACAATGAGCTTCTAACTTCACAACTTGAAAACCAGAAACAGGTCAGTTTGTTTTTTTTTTTTTTTCATAATTACTATTAAGGGTTCTTTTCAAAATGCAAAGATGATATGGTTTTGATCTGTATTCTAACTACATTCTACAACAACCTTATCCTTGCTCCCACTAAATTTGGCGTCAATTACGTAAATCTTTTTTTGTCACAGTATAACTGAAATTACCAATTAACTCGGACTATGTTCTTTGAAAGTAGGATTTTTTTTAGTCTATTTTATTTATATATTGAAGAGTTATTGCTGAGCTGATAAATGGTGGCATTTCTGCTAATATATGAACTGCTTCCTATTTGGGTCCAGTATTTTGAGTCTTTATTGCAAGAAGTTGAAGAGGAGACTGAAAGAGAATCTTCTGCAGCCGTGAAAAAATCTCTGAGTCAAAATCCAAAATTGATGAAATTGCAGGCAAAGCTAGAAAAGTGTATGGAAGAGAAGAAATTTCTTGATGATGTAAGTAAATTGGGATTTCCTTTAATAATTATTCATGTAGGGGGACTTTTTCACAAGCCCTTTTTTTTTTGGTCATTTCCTATTGAAGTTTTAACAAGCAGATATATATAATTTTATTTAAGTTGTTTATTGGGGATAAAAAGTTTGCAGTTGTCCTTGTTAATGGGGAAATCTAAAATTGCACTTCTTTTTTGAGTGTAGATCAATGATAATCTTCTGAGAAACCAGAGCATATGGGAATCTAAGATAAGGGATGTTGAAGAAAGGTATTGCTCTTAACCCCAGGAAGAAGCATGATAGGTATACTTGCATTTTTGGTCTGCTCATGAATCACCTAGGTTCCTTGCAAAAAATGGGGAATCTAATACTCTGTTCGGGAAACATTTTTAGGAGGAATAGTGATGGGGACTACGAAATATGCGGATAATAATGAGTAGTAGTTTTGAAATTATAGTTGAAATAAAGTTTTACTTTGACTCGGTAGTAGAAGTAACTTTTAATTCCCTAAAATGATTCCCGGACAAAGGCTAAGTGGCAGCACTATCAAAGAGTAAGTATACATTCGACCTACCATAAAACTGTGGTGTGAACTTGTGTTTGTGACAGCTAAAAACTTGTTTGTTTTGGGTCAAGCTTTTGACTGTAGTCTAATTGACTTTGTGCTTTGATGTGCATTCTCTACTTCATATCACTTATTTTTCTTTGTATCAATTTTATAATCTATGCCAAAATTATACTTAAAACGGTTAACATGGTAGAAAAGAAATCATGTCTTAACAGGGAAATATGTAGGGATTATGGCTATAATATGAAGATTTGGTGGATTTCAATTGTTCTACTAAAATAAGGGGGAAGACTATCATCAGTGTTATGTGTGTCAAGAACTTGTATTGGATCATATGCATTTCACTTCCAATGTTATGCCTTTTCAAAATCAACATCTACATGTCAAGCAAATGCACTGATCTTTTATTTGAGCTTTTTCTAGTGGTACTTCAATTTCCTTATGGCAATAAAATACATATATCTTCATTTATTTGTTCATTTACTTTTAAGCTAAAACTAAGCTGGTATTCCTGATATAACACACTGGAAAGCTTGTTGTGTAGCTAACTGTATTTCAAACAATCTGTTAGATTTTTCTTCAATTTTGTGAAGTCCATGAATAGTGTCTATTGTTGGAGAAGGAAAGGTGTGGAAATAGTCTAGTTACTTGGTGGTGAAGTCCCATCTGTATAGAGACCCGTGGTTCATCAATCATAGTGCATTTCATTTGATTGTAGTGCAACCTTGTCTTTTCCTTTCTTTTCTCGTGATTAGCATATCGGTTGTACCACGGTGCTCTAATGATATCTTGATTTTCAAATTTTCAAAAAATTCTAGGGAAAAGAAGCTTTTAAATCTGAAGGACGAGAAGATTCAAGAATTAGAGGAGCAGGTGAACTTCTCAATTACTTTTGCCTCTATAGTCTACAAACCATTACAATTTAGAAAAATAATAGTAAGCTATTAATGGGTCTTTTGCCACCTCTTCTGGGTATATGCAGCTGAGATGTTTGATGGCGTCCATTGAGGATGTAAATACAGAGCAACAGTCTACAGCTTCAAGTGAATTTACGGACGGGCCAACAAATACAGAATCTTCTTCAAGAAATGGGACGAAAGGAGCCAGAACGACAAGTAGTCGGAGAAAAAGCAAGGGTTGAGCTCTCTGGTTGATGGCAATGCTTAGGGCCTAAGGTGATATGTTATGAAAATCCGAATTTTATTTTATTTTTCATTTTTTTTCTGTGTGATGATTGAAGAATTCGAATAGAATTTCATGGCTATTACGTGTGCAGAGCATAGCATAGCATTCAAAATGTAGCGTAGCTAATGGTATTTTTAATTTGAAATGTTCATTCTAATGTGACCTTTGTTTGCTTACAAAGGTCGTGTGGTAGCGCTTGCCATCAAATGAGTGGCATAACCAGATTATCCAAACTGAACTTTGAGCGAAATTTTAATTGGATCACTAAATTTTAATTTATTTCAATTGAGTCATCGAACTTTAGATTAGTTTCAAATTTTAAAATACTCTCACATCCCGTCAGTTGTTGTCCTCATAATTGATAGAAATTATTTATTAGACAGTCGTAGTGTAACTTATCTTCCACAATCCCCATGTAGCATTCTATAAAATTAAAAAAAAAAATGTAAAATGAAGTTATATATATATGTCTTTAAATTAAAATGTTTTACTTTTTAGAATGTTTAATGATTTGGCATAGTTGTAAATTAGTATGCCACATAGAGATTATGTGGACACAGCAATTGTTGCATAACAACCAATTAAACAACTTTTATCAAATTGAGAGATGGCGGGGTGAAATTTGAAACTAAACTAAAGTATGCTGACTCAATTTGAAACGGCATTGAAGCTTTGTGAGGCAAATTAAAGTTTAGTGATCCAATTGAAATTTTGCTGAAAGTTCAATAACAACACATGAAACTTGTCCGGATAGAAGTCATATGAAGCATCGACCTTCTAATCTGAGTTGCAGAAGGAAAAATTAATAGCTTGTTTGGTTCGGATTAAATTTTGATTTTAATTAAACAATCAATATTAATCACATCTTTGATGGGTTCCATAACTTTTTACCTACACATTTCAAAAATTTTTATCACAATTTATTAAAAAAATTAATTTAATCCCTACCAAACACCCTCTAACATTAGTAGCATTTGTACATTTTCATAAAATCACATCAAGCTGTGCATGTAAGGCAAAGCTTAAATTATATTTTAGCTTGTAAAAAATATGTTTTTTTATTCATACATTTTATAATACTCATAACTATCTGTTTATTGTACATACATTTCGTAAAATCCATAATTTATGATCACAAAAATTCTATATTAACATGCTAGCAACCTAGAGTCATTATCGTCAGTAGTCTAGCTGAATACCTTAGGACTAATAGAAAATCGTTAGCTCTATGGAGATTTCACTAATACACATATTCATTCTACTTAATTAGCCTTTGTTTGGTACCCATTAATTTTCATTTCATTACATTTCATTTTTCTCTTTTTTATTTTTAACCACATAATTTTTTATAAAATAATATTACATCTAAATCAAAAACTTTTTCTTATTTTTCAAAAAAATACTATTCCACCCATTTTCATTTCTACAAAATGGGGGCCAAACATGGGCTAAATATAACTCAATCTACGATCCTATACAAATTACATCGAAAAAATATAATTATTCATATCTTTAATCTATTGAGCATATTTAAAAATCTCTTTATTTTTAAAGAGCTTGTTGTCTATTATGAGAACATATTTAAATTTACAGAGTAATTTTTTTATACTCTCCAACAAACTCTTCATTTATTAGCTCTTAATTTTACTTTTTCTAATAATCATTTATAGTATTTTCTTGTTTTTTCAATTAATATATAGTTTTTTAGATTTTAATGATTAAAATATTTGGATATGATTTGAATAATTCAAGACTGAAATTTGTACTTATAATTATTTTTAAATACACAGTGTATTTTGTTCTTAAATATAAGCCGATTTTGAAATGAAAGTTGAAGTCGGCATTTGAATCATTTAGAATAAATGAAACTTTTTTTGACGAGTTTACTTTTCAGTCCATTATCACTTGATCTCATATTGTCATTTAACGTTAGGTAACTATTTTTCGTTAAAAGAAAACATGGATATAATAACACGAATGCTACTAATAAAACGTTGCAAATGCATAAGTGTCTTTCCTGTTAGAGCCATATTTTTTAAAATTTCATTTTTTTTTTCAAATTTATTTTCAATCACAAAATCTTTCAATAAAATAATTTTACACGTAAACCTAAAAAATTTCCTTATTTTTAAGTACACATTCTCCAATATATATATATATATTCAAAATTTATTTTTCAAAAAAATATGGCTCAAACAAATCCGAAAGAAAAATACACAAGTACAAATATTTCAAAATACACTTCCAAAAATAAGTATAAGAAACTTGTGAAAAAGTTTCAAAAATCATTTGTGACCACACGATAACAATTTTGTTACTTAATAATTAATTAAAAATAAATAAAGATCAACATAATAGACAATCAATAATCACAATCACGTACTGTCACATTAGATTAGGTCACAGTCACAATGACACAAGTTGTGAGTCAATTAGAATTTGGTTGCAAATCACACATTTGTTTATATCTCATATGATTTATTGCTCACCAATTACTCATTTTATTAGTAACTATTATTCAAATAATTGATCATAAACGATTATCATCCCATCTCACTCCACCTTACCATCATCAGCGCCACCCAAACGACCCTGCTATCTCACCACCACCATTTCTACACCTACACCTCCATCTCCATCTCCATCTCCATCCAACCACTAACTCTACATATAACCCGCCACAATCATCCCCATCACGGATGTTTGCACAACTAGAGATGCAACACTGCCACCACCACCACCACTTGGAACCAACAACCACTACCTCTTGAAAACCACCATCACCTCCATCTCTACCCCCACCACACCAAAAACACCATTAGCACCAGCACTACCCCAACATTATACCTTTGCCACTTCCTTCACCTACACCTAATCTATGAAATACCTATGCTCTTCATATCTGTAGCCATTCGACAATCGCCACCTATAATCTCCAACTCACCAAGATCTCTAGCCATTTGACGGTTCGAAGGTAGACAGATTCGAGACCTCACACCGCAATAATATTGCAAATTGAAGGGAGCTTTGAGATGAGATGCGAAAGAGAGAACTTGACAGTAGCGCTTCGAGCAGAATAAATGACCTAGTGGGGGCTATAGGCGATGCAAGTGAGACGGCGAGATAATAGATCTTGTAACGTTTCAAAATCTAATACATCTTTTTAGTAAAAACAAAGATTTAAAGTGTTATAAAAAATTTTCTTATCTAATTTAAGTGGAATTTGACACCATTGTATAAATCTTGTGATTAGATTAGTAAATCGATAAGTAAAGTTTAAATTGATATGATTTTAATTGTCAAATTTAACATGGGATGCCAATATGGCTCGAATAACAAAACTACTAAAATGAGGTAGACCTAATTAAACATAAAAATAAAAATTCTTAAATAAAATTAGACATAAATCTTTGCTGAAAATTTACTTGGCAACCAATATTTCACGTGTCCAACACAACCCCGTTCTAATATCAAATTTATTGTAAGAGTGAGTATATTGAAAATAAATAGCAAAAATACATGCAAAATCATATTTGATATTATATAAATATAAAACGACATAACATACTTGATGTTCTTAAATTTAGAGCAACGATATCAGATAGCTCAACAAATTTTAAAATTCTCATATCCTGTAGGATTTACATATTTGGATCTAACGGTCTATTCAAAAGGATTTACATAAAAATTGACCTTAATGCGTTAAAGTATTTAATGCCATAATTATATAAACATCTAGAAAAAATAGAATTTACAATTGCACTATGTATTATCATTTATTAACGAGATTAATGGAATTTAAATTGATTTAATGACTTATCTTTTCATTTCTATTTAATGACCACGTTACCTTTTCTTTTCCTCCGGGTAACGAATCGTACGTTTCATAAACTTTTTTTATTAATAAAATATTGGATGAAAAATATATATTTTTTTTTCAATCAAAATAATTCAAACATATCTAGTAGAAAATTATTTTTTTTAGCTCAATTTATTTTATAAACACGAGCTACAAAATGAGTTCAATCTTTGACATGTTTTTATCAATTTCTATAATACTTAAATACTCTATCCAAATAAAATTTACGATCAATTTTAAAAAATATACATAAGAAAACAAATTTTTTATGCAAATAAGTGGGTTAAACTTCTCAATATAACTTTTGGATAAGGTTCGACATGGACTATTCCATATCCTAAATGACCAAGATTTAATTAATTAATTTAGGGCCATATGAAAATAGCAAGCAAAAATTTGGAGTTTCACACCCCTTTATCCTTAATTAATTTTGTGCATGAAAATACCTTATCCTGTCGAAAAGCTCTGGATACTTAGCTTTTATTTCTTTTTCTTTCTTCCAAGTAGTCTCTTCGACTCCATGATTTTTCGTTGAACCTTAAGCAACACAACTTCTTTATTTCTGTATAGCTTCCATTTGGGCCCTATCATCTATCATTTTTTTCCTCTCTCATATTTTTAACCACACAATTTTTCATTAAATAATATTACAAGCAAATCGAAAACCCTTCATTTTTTTCAACTACACATTATTTAAAAAAATACCATTCCAAACATTAAAATTTGAAAAAAAAAATGGGGGCCAAACGGGGGCATAATTTCCTTTCGATAATATCCAAACAGGCCAGTTCACACGTCAAATCCTTGTATAATTTCAATGAATCATAACTTATCTTATGTTCATGATCATACACATACTTTTTAAATATTGATACTTGGAATACATTATGCACCATTGATAGTCCATGCGACAATGCTAGATGGTATGCCGCATTTCCTATTCTATCTAGATTTCGAAAAGACCTACAAATCGATGTCTCAACTTTCCATTCTAGCCAAATGTGATAACCCCTTATATTGGTGACATTTTTAGAATCATTTTCTCATTGACTTCAAATTCAACTAATTTTCTTCTTTGGTCTCCATAGTTTTTTTAATCTATCTTCAGCTACTTTATTTTGTTTTTAATTTTATTGACTGCTCACATTGTCCTTGCAATAATTTATGGGCCAAAAATTTGATTTTCTACGATTTCGTCCCAGTAAACTTGGGATCTACATCTTTTACCATAGAGAGCTTCATAATGATGCATGCTAATAGTTTGGAAGTTATTATTGTATGCAAACTCCACTAATGGTAG